AGGGCCTTTGCACTTGCTGTTCTCACTGCCTGGAATGCTCTTTCCCCGGTTATCCACAGGGCTTGCTTGCTGACTTCCTTCGGGTCTCTGCTTCAATGTCATCACCCCAGGAAGGCCTCTCTGGCCCCTACATAAAATTGCTACCCCCGTCTCCTTCTGGCCCTGCTCTGCTTTTCCTTTTCCACCAGACATTACATGTCTTTTTTTTTTTTTTTTTTTTTTTTTTTTTTTTTTTTTTTTTTTTTTATTGTTTCTGCTTTATTCTGTTTTCCCCCATGAGAACGCCAGCTCTTCAAAGGCATTTTTGTCTTGCTCACTGCTGGACCCCCAGCACATAGAATGATGCCTGGAACATAGTAGGTGCTTGGTAAAGATATGAGGAACGAATACATGAATCTGGTGGTGGCAGCCCAAATGTCACCTCTTTTGTGAGGTCTCCCTTGATTTCATCCGCAAGTGAAAGGCCTTGACCTGGGGTTCCTCCCCACTGTTTTCAGCTTGCTGCTTAGGTGTGTCCCTGGGGACTGAGCCACATTCAGCTCTCAGTCCCCAGCCTGCTCTCAGCATACCAGAGACACTCAGGTAATCACATTTCCAGTTCTCATTTCCACCTGCCCACAGACCCAGATTTGAGAAGCAGTTTACATGTGGCATCTCAGTTAACCCTCAACATGGCCTTCTGAGATATGCGGATCACCCCTGTTTGTGGACGTGTCCCGGAGAGGAGTGGTCACTGGCCCTAGACGGCTGGTTTGGGCAGAGCCAAGCCTAGAACCCTCGACTCCTGCTTTCCAGGGAGCAGAGTGCATGAGAATTACACACTGTCGGAGCACCTCGGGAGGACCTGAACCTCAGCCTCATCAGAACCTGAAGGGCCCCCAGGCTGGAAGCTGACACGGCAAAAGCCTCGGATTTATCATAAGAAGCCAGAAATCCTAAGTTGGCAATTAATTCAAATGAAGCCAAAACCCAGAACAGATTCTCCCGTGGGCTGGATGCCACCCTTCGGCCAGCACTTTGCGACCTGCGTTCTGGCGAGGTTCTATCTAGATTCTAGATGGTTGTCTATTTTGTAGGCAAGAAAACAGGCCTAGAGAGGGGAGTGATTTGCCCAAGGTCACATGGCAAGAGCCAAGATTTTGAAAATTTCTGGTCTAGGGGTGCCTGGGTGGCTCAGTCGGTTAAGCATCCGGCTCTTGGTTTCAGCTCAGGTCGTGATCTCATAGTTCATGAGTTCGAGCCCCACGTCAGGTTCCACACTGTGCAGAGCCTGCTTGGGATTCTCTCTCTCCCTCTCTCTCTCTGCCCCTCTCTGCTTGTGCTCTTTCTCTCTCTCAAAATAAATACACTTTAAAAACAAAAAAGGAAAGAAAATTTCTGGTCTAGAGAAGGCAGTATTTTATGGGGAGTGACCCGGAGCTCCCCACCCCGGAGTCAGTCCCTGCCACTTGCTGTAAGGCAGCCCAGGCCAACAAGGACGAGGGAAAACAGATGCCTAATTCCAGGGTCAGGCGGCCATGGGGAGAGCTGAGTTTCAGAAGCAAACAGACCCGGGTTCAAACTCCAACCCAAACCCCCATCAGCTGTTGTGACATGTGGCCTCGGGCAAGGTTCTTCCCTCTCTGAGCCAGGCCTCTCCTCCGTAAGCTGGGCACACGATACCCTGGGTAAGAAATGACTGGCTCCCGAGCTCGGCTGGGACTGTGCTTCGAGTACTTCCGAGGAGAACTGATGAGGTTGCCACATAGAATGCACACCGCCCCGATTCCTGTTTCTTCAACCTCCCAGGTGCCCACACAAAGACTGTGCCAGAGCAGGCTGCTTGGCTTCCAAAGAGGCCTCGGCAGAACAGGTCTGGTGACCCTGGGGCTGACCTCCTGTCCCAGCACACCCTCCCTGTCCCAGCACTTTCACACACGGAGCAGGCGGTTGGATTCCACCAGTAATGCTTCGGCCTCTGGCTAGGCGGCCACCCCAGCCCTGCAGCTGCTGCTACTATGTTCCCCTAGTTCCTCCTAGGGCAGGAAGTAATTTGGGCAGAAATGCCTCCCGGGTCCCCGCTGCACAGCCCCCTGCCCCACCCTAGCCCTGTGTCCCTCTTTCCCCGCCCCGGAGCCATTCTCTCCTCGGGCCTGGCCCCTTCTGAACTCCAGATGCCGGACCCCATTGACTCTCAGGCCTTCCCCGCCCCCTCTCCCACAGCCCCTTAAACTTACCCCGCTCATGCCAGGCCAGAGGCCTCCTGCCCACGTTCCTGAGCTGGTGGACCTCAGGCCCCATAGGTCCTGCCCCCTGAACACTCTTTACATCCCCTGAGCATTAGTCTGAACCTTATGGCATGTCACTGGTCACTGCAGCTGCCCCCTGATTGGTCCCTGACCTTCAGTCTTGCTCGCCTCTGCCCACACTCCCCGCCTCCCACAGCCAGAGGAAGCTTTCTCTTTGGGGCTTGGACTCACGACCCGAGATCGACAGTCGCATGCTCTACCAACTGAGCCAGCCAGATGTCCCCAGAGGGAGCTTTCTAGAACTGTCTGGCAAGGGCCTTCCAAGCTCAAGTCCCTTCTTCCAGGGGTGTCATCTACTCTGACAGAAGGGCAGCTCATCCCAGCATTCAAGGCCCACCAATGTCACCTGCCTCATTTCTTGCATCTGATAACACCTGCCACACATACTTTTATTCTTTACATCTGAGTTTAAAAATTATTCATCGGTACCCTGAAATTAGAATTGAACTGGATGTCCTATATCTTACTTGGCAACCCGACTGTCAGTCCAAACATCCTAGACATCATGAGGTTTTAGTGTAATTTTTGGTGCAGCAACTGGGACATACTTAACTACTAAAAAAAAGTTCATTGTTTAACTAAAATTCAAATTTAACTGGGCACCCTATATTTTTATCTGCGAAACCTGGCAACCCAGATCTTACACAGATAACAGGGACCGGGGAGGGGGGCTGTCAGGGGTCAGAGAGCCCCAACCTGGACCCAGAAACCCTGCCCATTATTCTGCCTGAAAGTCTCCTTCCCAAACGCCCACCCTCGTCCATGGAGCCCAGAGACTCCTCGGGAGGAGCTATTCCACTACTGGCCGCTTCTCTCCTCTGCCTGGGCCTCAGCTTCCTCTTCTAGCAAATGAAACTAATGGTTTCTCCATCCTCTCAGTCTCTCCCAAGGATCAAACACCTGATTAGAGTAGGGGATTCCCAGCTGGCAGGGCGTGCCCAGAAGGCAAGCAGGCTTGGGGGGAGTTTCTGTTCTTTGGCCCATGGAAGGACCTTGAGGAATGATTAGGATGAAGGTCTTCCCCCAACCCAAAGCACCTTGTAAACCAGTTAAACCACCTCAGTGATAATTGATTCAGGCAAGCAGCATCCGCACATGCTAAAACCACTGGATCAAAATTTGTTGGGGACCAGGGCATTCACACAGCATCCAAGGAGAAGTTACCTTATTGTAGGTAGACCGGGCCGGGCAACAACAGGGAACAGTCCATCACCTGCCCTTGATCCGAAGGAGACCTGCCAGGTAAACTCCACGCTTAGCCTGGGATTAAACCCTGAACCAGAAAAAAAAAATAACAGCCGGAAAGGACATTACAGGGGCATCTGGGGCAATGGAACGTGGACCCGGGACTAGGTAACAGTATTGTATCAATGTTAAAGTTCCTGAACTTGATCACTGAACAGTGGTATGTCAGAGAACAGCCTTGTTCTTAGCAGAAATGTGGTGAAGTATTCAGAGGTGAAGGTCACATATCTGCAATTCTCTATGGCTCAGCAAAAGCAAACATATAGGGAGGATGGGAGAGAGAGAGACAGGTCAAATGGTAACAGCTGGGGAATCTGATAGTTCATTGTACTATTTTTGCAATTTCTCTGTCCGTTGGGTATTTTTCCAAGCCTGAGGGCACACCCAGAAATAAAATATCAGAATTAGAAGTGGTCTTGGGGCTCCTGGGTGGCTCAGTCAGTTAAGCATCTGACTTTGGCTCAGGTCATGACATCTGACGGTTTGTGAGTTCCAGCCCCACGGCCGGGTCACTGCTGTCAGCACAGGGTCCTTTTCGGATCCTCTGTCCCCCTCTCTCCCTCTGGCCCTTCCCTGAGCGCACA